CCGGGCGGGATCCCCCCGCCCATGGGGCCTCCGCACCTGCAGGTAAGGAATTCTCCTGGGCTGGTTTAGTGGATTCAGGGATTTTTTTCTTTGTTTCCACACGTGGAAGTGTCCAGCTCTGGGCCCCTCAGTTTCAGGAAGCACATGGAGTGTGTCCAGAGAAGGGCAGTAAAGCTGGTGGAGAGTCTGGAGCACAAGTCTGATGAGAGCAGCTGAGGGGTCTCGGGGGCTCAGCCTGGACAGAAAGGGGCTCAGGGTGATGCTGGAGTCCCCATCCCTGGAGGTGTCCAGGGAACAATGGGACATGGCACTCAGTGCTCTGGGCTGGGTGACAAGGTGGGCATTGGGCACGGGTTACACTCAATGGGCTGGGAACTCTTTTCCAATGTAATTGATTCTGTGATTATGTGGAAATAGTATGAGAATGGAAATGGGTGAAGGAAACAGCAAGGCAAGGTGAGAACACAGCGCTCAGTTGTGGTGTTACACACCGCTGCATACCTGTAGTGTGCAAATACAGCTTCTGCTCAGCTCCTCTGCTGCTAAACTGATGGATGCTTTAAGGTCTTGTGTCTGATTTTCTGAGGCCTGAACAGTTTGCAAGGGATGGCACCTTTGTGAATGAGAAATTGATTGTTTTAATTGCCTTGTGCTGATATTTAATTGCTTTGTGGGGGTGCCTTCCCATTAGGGCAGTGTAAGTGCTGTATGGGCTGTGGGCAGGCTGAGGAGCTGAATGGTCCCACACGGCATTATGGATTAAATCCACTATTTTAATTGCAGTTTGGAGAACCAAGCAGAGTTACTTTGGATCCCAGGCCTGGCTGTGGGTGTCTCCTGTGTCTGATTTCCACCCAGGGTGTGCTGCTGGTCCCAGCTGTCACACAGGCTGTGAGCTGTGCAGCTCCTCAGCAGCACCAGCCTTGGCTGGGTGTGTGAGCTGGGCTGGCACTGAGCTCTGCTCAGGGCTGGCTGCACTCCCTGCCCCGTGCCCAGCCAGACGGGATGGTGACAGCCCCTGGTCACAGTGGGAGGAGCTGTGCTCAGGGCTCAGGCTCTGCTGGGACCCTGGCTGCACACCTGGCACCAAATGCCCACGTGGTTTTACTCCTGGAGTGGGGAAAGGAGATGTAGCAGGTGGAAGATGGGATTCTTTGTACAGTTGTAACAGCAAGAAAGAGGAAGCTCATGGTGAAGCAGGTGCAGGAGCTGTTGGGGAGGAACAAGGGAGAGAATGCAGGTTGCACTTGAATTGAGGGCTTTTTTTGTTTGTGTAGAATGCCATCCACGCACTCTTGGCTTCCTTTTCTAGTAGTATTTAATGCAAACAATTGTTACTAGTTTGGAATGTGGATTTAAAGAGCAGTTTAAAACACCGATCTCAGGGCAGCTCCCAAGAGAGGCCAAGGACGTGGCAGCACTGGCAGGTGCCAGGGGTACAGCTGCACTTGTGGGTGCAGCTGGTCACCGGGCCACCCCTCCCTGTGGCACAGGAGCCCTGGGTGTCCCAGTGCCAGGGCTCGGGGTGACACTCAGAGCTGGAGTGAGGGGGACAGTAAGGGCAGCTGTTGGTGTTTGCAGAGTAAGCCAGAGAACTCTGTGAGCTCTGTCATCTGTTTTACAGGAAAGTGTTCACTGTACTTGTTGCATATAGGGAATTTCAAACAGTACAAGTAAATAAGTAAAATGAAAGAACTGAATGTACTTTGAATTACAGACAGGTGTTCAGGCTTTCAGGTAACTGTGTGCAGGACAGGTCAGGTTTTCTTATCATGCAATAATGAACATGTAATTTCACCATATTTTTGTTTTAATTGTCACTAGCTAGAATTTTAGTTTGTGGGAAATTTAGGAGTGTAATGGATTTTAATTAAGCCCACTGCTCAGCTGTACTGGCAAACCGGATGCTTACTTGTAATTTAGGTTTTTTTAACATATCTCTCCTGGGAGGGTTGTTGAGTTTCTGGGATATTTGGTTCACAGACGGTGATGTCTGAGCAGCAGCTATTTGAGAACAGCTCTTCCATTCTTTCTCTTCCTTCCATTGAAGTATTTTCTCCTTTCCAGGAGAGGACTCTGAGACTTTGAGCACGTTTCTGTTCATTCCACCTTTTTTAGGTGCCTGGATGTTTGTATCTCAGAAGTGATGGCTTCAGCTGTTCTGCCATGGGTGGGGGGCTGGCTGGAAGTACATTCCCTGATCTGGGAGCACTGGATTGTTAGGGAAGCTTCCAAACCTGGTACAGCTGTCCTTACTGTTGTTTTAGCGTGTGCTATTTCTCTAAGAAAGGAAAATTGCTTGATATTATATTTTTGTTATCATTATTGTTATTATATGCCTTTAGAGACCACCATTTATGCCTCCTCCCATGGGTAGCATGCCACCACCTCCTGGTATGATGTTCCCTCCAGGAATGCCGCCGGTGTCTGCGCCGGGAACACCAGCAATGCCCCCAGCTGAGGAGATCTGGGTGGAGAACAAAACTCCAGACGGGAAGGTGAGCCGGGGCAGGGCCGGGGTGCCCTGGTGGCTGTCCTGCAGCGGGCCGTGGCTCACAGGGCTGCTCTCCCCAGGTCTATTTCTACAACGCCCGCACGCGCGAGTCGGCGTGGAGCAAACCGGACGGCGTCAAGGTCATCCAGCAGTCAGAGCTGACGCCCATGCTGGCGGCCCAGGCCCAGGCCGTGGGGGCTTCCACCCCCACCACCAGCAGCCCTGCATCTGCAGCGTCTCCATCCACCTCCTCCAGCACGCAGTCCTCCACCACCTCCACCACCACCACGGCCACCTCAGTGTCCCAGACCAACTCCAGTGAGTACCTGGCCGTGTCTCGGCCTCGCCGTGCTGGGAGCTGGTGGTGGGGTTGCTGCATGGGGAACTGCTGCAGCAAAGCATGGGTATTCAGGACAAAGTTGTTTCAGCATGGAGTGTGAATTTAAAGTACAGTCTTTAGTCCAGAAGAACCTTGCATGCAAACTTCTTTCTCCCCGGTCTCAGAGAATTCTTCAGGTCTTTGTATATTTTTCTTCTGCTGTTATCACATCATCTCAGAGCTATTACACATCTGTTTCCTTTTGACTACAGATAGAGCTTAATTGTTCTTAAAAGTGTTTCACAAGAAATGTTGATCTGAGGTAGGAGTTTAGTTGCAGCAATTTCCTCGTTTCTTCCACAGCATCTGTTCTTGTAGGCTGGGTTTCAGAGCTGATGCTCTGTGAGCATTGGTTGATTACAGAATAGAGTTTCTTTGTTGTATTAGTTTTATTAGCATTACTCCTCTGCCTAAGCCTTCTCAGTTCCTATTTTCTAGAGTTCCACAAAGAGGAAAAAGAAAGTCCTTGGAGGCATTTTTGTTCATTTGTGACCTTTGAATGACAGTCTGGAGATTATTGCTGCTTCCATGGACTGAGCCTTTGCTTGTAGGGGTTTTCCAAGTAAGGAAAGGGGACTGAATGATGCAGCCCGCACATAAATGCATGGCTGTGCACACACCAGCGTGGTTTGCAGTGCCCTTTGGCACGTGTGTGCTGCCCAGGTGCCTCAGTGTGGCACAGAGGTGTGTGTTAAGTACTGAGGGTCCGTTTGCTGTGAGCGAGGTCAGTCCCCGTGCCCAGAGCCAGGTGAGCAGGGCAAGGAGCAGCTCAGAGAGTGTCCTGTCTTGCGTGCAGGGCTACAGACAGACGGCATTGGTGCTGAGCAGGAGTCTGGCACTGGACATTGGGTGTTGTAGCTGCACTGGCTCACAGGTGTGCACTGAGCCAGGCCAGAGAGTGTGCAGGAGGTGACCTGTTCCAGCTCCTGCTGTGGGGCAGAGTTGCATTCTCTGGAATTCATCTTTTTCCTGTAACAGGCGAGACAAGTCAGCTGAACTCACCATTTAACCCGAACTTCAGAATCTGTGTGTGAAAGCGAGTCAGATTTAGGTAACCCTTCAATTCTGCTTTCATTAAGGCTGGAGGAAGGACACGTTGCTAGAGCAGCAGAGAACTTGTATTGTTCAAAGCATTTTAGGGCTTCTGTTTAATTTGAAGGATAACTCAGAATGATGTTAATTGACTGTGTTGAACTATGGTCTGCTCTAATTGTTGTGCTGAGTAACAAGCCAGTTGGGAGGTCAATGTCTGCTCCTGACCTAGTGGCAGGCTGGGGAGAGCTAGCCGTGCTTTGGGGGCAGCACTTTGTGCATCTTCTCTGAAGCTGAATTTCCTGATGTTGAATGCTGACAATCTGTTCCACTTCTACCTGTTCTATCTGCTAAACTTTGTCTTTGCTTCCAAGAACTGTTACTGTTGGTGTCTGTGCCTAGCTGATGAAATTTTATAATTTAAAATAATTTTATAACTCTTAGACTTGACCTGTAAAAAAAACCCTGGGACTTCTGGCTGAGCTTCATTCTTGCCTTGTACTGATTTGACCTAGGTCTTACAAATCACATACTGACTGACTGCTCTGTTTCCCTAAATGTTAGGCACTGCTGAGAACTTTCACCCTTTCTGAAACGCTTATCAAAAAATCAAAAATCATTATTTAAATATGCTAATGCTGGTATATTGTTTGGAATGTTTCTGGTAGTAATAGAAAATGCACGGTGTGCCCATTGGAATATGGCTGTAAATTGGTGTGGTTTCTTTATTTTTTTTTTCTTTTTCCCTTCACCTCCACACCAAGTCTTACAGAGTGAGTTTACAAGTTTAAGCAGACTTGTCTCAAGTTCCTGTTGCCCTGTGCTCTGAGACTGTTTGCTCCCAATTAAAACAATTTGAAATTGAAACCGGTCATGCTGCAAGGATTATAGAACTGAATGCCAGTTGTGTGTTTTCCAGCTGGGAGGCACTGAAGACTAAGAAAGTTCTTGCAGCTCTTGAAGAAAAGTATTTTACTTTTCCTTACTTATTTACACATTTTTATTGCTATTTTCCTGCTCTGGGGGTGCAGCCCAGCATAGTTTAAGGCAGACTGCTGTCATGCACATGCTGCTGCTGTTAAAAGCAGAACCTGTGTTCGTGTAACACAAGGACAGCCTGTTGCCATTGGAAACTTACTGCAATGTTCTGTTTCTGTGAACAGAATAGAACCTGATTTCTGCCCGTGTTTGTCCTTTAATACAGCCCTGCTTCTGCTGTAGAGATATGTTAAGTGTAAAGAACGGGACAAATTGAAATTGGAAATTGACTTTCTTTGTGAATATTTAATGTTCCAGAGAAGGCAAAGTATTTTTTGTCCAGGGGTGTCTTCCTGCTGGTTATATCTGAGCATAGCTGCTGTGTACCGGGAAACAGAGCGCCAGTATGTTTGCAGCAGTATATTGCAGTGTCTAAGATACAAGGTGTTCTTTGTGTTTTTTTATCAGCACCTACCACACAAGACCAGACCCCGAGTTCGGGTGTTTCAGTTGCCACACCATCAGTCAGTGTTTCAACCTCTGCTCCTTCTGCTACACCTGTGCAGACTGTACCCCAGCCAGTCCCACAGACATTGCCTCCTGCAGTTCCTCATGCAGTACCTCAACCAACTGCAGCAATTCCTGCTTTTCCACCAGTAATGGTACCTCCATTTCGTGTCCCCCTTCCTGGCATGCCTATTCCACTTCCAGGTAAATTGGCAAACTGTAATTGTCTTGTCTGCTACATGTCCATGTTGTCAGTTGTTTGCACTCATGTGTCCACTGTGTACAGAACTTGCCTGGATCCTCTCCTCAGAGTATCTCTGAAAGAATTCAGGGTTAGCAGACAGACTTTTTAATTAACAAAGAACATATCTTTTTGAGCACTGTATTTTACTAATTGCAATATTGCTTTAATTTTTTTTCTACTTACTTGATTTAGACCTGAAGTCTTGTGCATAAATATTCACTAGGACATGGATGAGCAGGAAGAATTGCCATGGGAATCATGACCCCAGTGACATCAGGTGTTCCTAGTTCTCTCAGGCTGCAGCCATTGGGTAGGATGCTGAGTGTTGAGGTGTGACCTGAGGACCATAATGAGGCATTTAGGGTGCCAGTGTGCTGTTATTCACAGGCTTTAGGTTTAAAGAACATAGAGAAGGAATCTTAGATGGCAGCACACTTCTTCTGGATATATCATAGTTTCTTAAATTTTTATGAAGTACTTAAATACCTAAGGAAGGAATTTTAGGCTGACAAAATATTGGACTCTCAGCCTGTAGTTGTTGCAGAGGCCTCCCAGGAGATCACTAATGACACTTAGCACTTACACAGCACCTTTCATTTCATGGATACCACTGAGTTCCTGTTCTGATAAAATTTGATGCGTTTCAGTGCACAGTGGCACTAAGCATACACCAGGAACTGATGATTGTGTGTTGCAGAGGGAGGTAGGAGACTGCAGTTGTATTAGATCCAAGTTAGTTTCAGATTTAAAAAGACAAAAGAAGCAGCTCTGAGCAGCATCTTCATATTTCTGCCTCTGTACAAGCTGAGTGAGGTGGCTTTGCTGCTGTCCTAATGCAGCCACCCAGTGGATGTGGAGGGAGGCCTTCACCTCCCCACTGAATTACATGGATGAAAAGTAACCCTTCAGAAAAGTAGCCCTTCACTCCTTTGATGAGAGAAAAAAAGCCTGAAAGCAGTTAAAGTGCTGACTAGAAGAGAGCACCAGCTTTTAGCTGCCTCTACTTTTAGAATAGTCTTCTAAAATAACTGGGCAAAGCTGCTTTAATCTGTATTGGGCTGAAAAAGAAATTGCAGTGTAGTACTCTTTGGATTAAACCAGGAAACAAATACTATTCTGAATGTGATATTCCAGGCTGAACAACAAATGAATAAAGGGTAGGAGAAAGAAGTCTCTTTATTGATGAGGTTTGCAGGAATAATAAAAACAGTTAAGCCTCAAAGATGATCAGCTGAGTACTCTCAACTGCCATTTCTAACCTTGCCAGCAAGGGACCAGCATGGAATAAAGGGCCCTTACACACTGTGAGGGATATGATCTATGCAGGTGTGACCTGTGGGGTAAAATGGGATGGTCAGGACAGTGTAGAAATGTGCCAGTGGAAATGGAGATCCTGAGTGTTGGCCCACAATGGGCTTTATTGCGAGCTCTCACTCAGAAAAGTTTAGGGAGCAGTGCAGTACAGGAGCAAAGACAGAGTAGGAACATCAATCTCCTGAAACTCATTTTTGAAAGTTATTTTTTTCAGCACTTCCCTGTAAGAGGTCTTTGCTCTGACCAGTTTTTCCTGTGAGCTGGGCTGCAGGTGGAACCCATAGCATGTAGGAAGGATTCCTGGCAGCAAAGTGCTGCTTCCAGTAATGGGTCTGATTTATCAGTTTGCTTAGCTACAGAATGAAATCTGTCAGCTTCTTTCAGCTAATTTTGGCTTGAGTTGGTTGGGATGGTTTCTAAGCACTGTTAAAGAAAAGGAAAACTGTAAAATATTTTACAATAACAAGAAACAGAAGAGAAGACAAATTACTTCAAAACAGTATCAGGTGAAGTCAGAAGGTCATATGAAGGTCAGGCTGTAGATGTTTGAGGCTTTCAACACCAGGTATGATACCAGCCAGAGGATTTGAAGTCACAGGGACAGAGCTGAACAATACCAATGTCAGGTGATTTCAAAGTTAATCCCTGCGTTAAACTGTAGTAAGAAGGAGAAATGGAAGAGTTTGTTAGTGATATCTCAGATCTTAAAAAGTAAGTCTGCTTTCTCTCAATTCCTATGTTTTAAGTCAGTTTTATGTTTGGGAATGACTTTGGCAGCAGAAACAGCTTGGGTGTTTGCTCAGTCTAATCTGTGCTGCAGCATCCCTAACTCCAGCAATCCCCAGATAGTGTTATTTGTACTGACTCATGTTGGAGACATGCTGTAACTTCCTTAACAAAACGAATTTTCAGGTCCATTGTCAAGTATATAACATGACCACCCTTGCAGTTTAGGCAAACACTTCAATCAGTGCTGTTTAAGTCAATGTTTTCATGTCTCAGTTCAATACTTTTGAAAAGAAAACTAGTTGCAATTCTCTCATTGAAATTAATTTTAAAAAACATTACAATTCTGTCTTCTCACAAATTTATTTTCAAATAATTGGCAGTATTTATGTATGCTCTGCATACTAGATCTCTAATGACCAAATCCAGAAACTGCTTTAGTTTAAACAGGGGTTTAATTTCACTTTCCACTGGAGCATTTCCCGCCTCACATGATGAATTTGAACTTTTGAAGGGAAGTGTTTCAGTTTCTGAGCATCCAGACTGGACCAGCCAGAGAGCACTTCTACAGTTGCCTTCTACACCCAGAATGGAGGTTTTGGAAATTCATTCTCCTCAGCCTTGTCTGATTTCCCACTGATTTTGATCTGATCAAAGAGGATGAGCTGCTCGCCTTTTTGTGCCTTTTTGTGTCATTTCTTACTCAGCTGGAGAGCTGACTAGTGCATGGTGCCGCCTCTTTCAGGGCGAGTTTTGGCTTTTAAAGCATTTTCAGCTCATGCCATTCTTGATAATGAAAAATAAAGGAAATGTCCCTGACCTAGTGCAGCTCTGTGTACCTCTGTCTGCAGCTTCATTGCTTTGATTTCTTTTAGTCCCTCTCTTTCACCTGCAGCCTTGCTGCAGTGACCCTCCTACCCTCAGCTTTCCCTCTGGGTTGCATTGGCCGTCCACCCTGCCCTGCTTTGCTGCTCTGACTAGTTCAGACCTGTCCTTCTGCCCTGACTCTGCTCTCTAGCTGCAGCAGCAGACTGGGAACCTCGAAGCCCCTTTTGTGGTGCTGCTGCTCCCCACAGGTCTGTCCCAGCAGAGGCTGCCTGTGCAAGCAGCCCCATAGTGGGATATTTTCTTGTGGTGCTGCCCTACAAGGGGAGCCGCATTCCCCCTTGGATGAACTTAAACCCCTGAGTCTTCATTGAAAGACGTTTTTTCTTTTTAATGACATCCCAATAACTTGCCAAGCAGCTGGTTTAACATAGGCAGAGACTGTTGCTGCAGGTTAAAATTAGTTTTATATTTGATCTGGCATAAAACATTGAAGCAAAAGTAATTCCCATTTTCTTGCTGGAAGGCTTCTTCTCTGCCAGCTGCAAATGGCATTCCAAATTGTGGCAGGAAGTCCGTAGCAGCCCGTGGTAGCTGACGTCCCATGGCAGCTTTCCAACATGCTTCCTATCCGTTTTGCAGGTGTAGCAATGATGCAAATAGTCAGCTGCCCGTATGTAAAGACAGTCGCTACCACCAAGACCGGTAATTTCCAAACCCATCCTAGTTCGTTTTGTCTGTAAGTTGGCATGGTAGTGAATGTGGTTGTTTCTTTTATTTCTTTATTTGCTTCCCCACTTCAATGATTACATATACTTTATTTTCAAAACCAGTATAAATGAAATATCGTATTTGGTCAGGAGATAACTTCCCCAAATAACTGTTAGTGTCAGCTTATTCTGTACCCAAACTCTGTACAGTTTTCTGTAACCATTGAGTTCTGTAATGACTGTGACTCTCATGCCCATACTTAGTTCCTAGTTTCTTGTGTGGATTTTTGTTTTCCTGCTCCACATGTGCAGTGGCTGGCTGTGCTCGCATGTTGTGTGCGTGTCTGTGTGTCTGAGTGTGAACTTTCATATTTCAATTGTGGATTTATGAATACTCACTCGCTGAAAACACGTTATGGCAGTGTGTAATGTGTGATTTCTGTTATTTAAAGTGAGACTTCCTCAGTGTTAAAGGCTCAAATTTATGAAGTTCCAATCCTATCCAATTGGTTGTTCTAGAACTTGTCATTCCAAATCTATTCATTATCCTCAGTTTGTTGGGATGAGTGGAGAGATAATGGGACACTGCAGCATTTTGGCTTTCTTATCTTTGGAATTTACTTGCCATTTTGCTTTAGGATTTCAATAAAATGTTGGTTTTTTTCAATCAGTTTGCAGTATTAAACAAACCCAACAATCTGATGCTGTTTCATTCTCATCAGGTTTTATCCAAGGCTATGAATTAATGCCAGTATTTAAGATTTATCAGAGTTCTGTTCTATGGCTCAAATTCAATGCAGTCTCGCCTTTTTTAAGAGCAATAGGAGTATCTTGTACACCAGCAGCATAATTAAGCTGTGGAGTACACTTAACCCAAATTATTTGCTGCAGGCATTCTGATAAAGACTTTTCTAATAAATAGAGAACCTTATTTTAAAATAATAGAATAAATGCTTAAAAGCTAACAAGCTTTGTGCTTTGCAGAATTAAACAAATTAATTAAAATCCAATTTGCCTGGGAGTGGGCATTACTGATTGCAGAACACAGGAAATAAATTTGGTAACAATGCCTTGCTTTCCAATTGAACTTTGACAACAATCCTTGTGTTTCTTTCTATGGGTTGGACATTTGTGAGTTAAGCCAGTGCCGTGCTAGGTGTTGGTGCCCAGGCCCTGCCCTGGCGCTCACTGTGCCCTGTGCTTGTTGCTTGTTCCCTGCCAGGAGTGCTGCCGGGCATGGCGCCCCCCATCGTGCCCATGATCCACCCGCAGGTGGCCATCGCCGCCTCGCCCGCCTCCCTGGCCGGAGCCGCCGTCTCCGAGTGGACAGAGTACAAGACAGCCGACGGAAAGACCTACTACTACAACAACAGGACTCTGGAGTCCACGTGGGAAAAGCCCCAGGAGCTGAAGGACAAAGGTACTTTTGGGTTTTTTCCTACAGCTTTGTACTGGGAGCGTGGCTCAGACCGCCGCTGGTTGTGTTGGAAAGTGTGAGCGCGTGTATTTCGAATCCCTGATCTCCCTTAACAATACTTTGGAGTTCTGTTTATAAGGATCCATATGAGGTGGTTTTCAGTCTGAAAGTTTTAGTGTGTTTCCCACTGTACTGTAAGAGCATTTGGTTCTAGAGTTGCTCCCAAATCTTGTGCCTAGGGCCAGTGCATGTTCCTGTGCCAGCAGAAGGTGAGTACCTCCCCTGCACGCGTTGGAGAAGGTTCCAGTTGCAGACAGAAAGTGAGGGGAATTGAGGGGAAAAGTCAGTCATACCAAGGGCTGTAGACTAGGACAAAATGAAGATCATTGTGCTGAATTTCAGATCTTTAAAAAATAAATATAAAGTATATAAAGATAAAGTATAAATAGATTTGGAGTATGAAGTAAAATAATGTCACCTCCCCCTGTCCACATCTCTACATTGTGTTCATGTAAATGCACGTTGGATCCATGGGTGGATACAATTGCTCTTGTATAATAAATAAGGAGGAAGGGGAAAAGGTCCTGTGGCTCTTACTCAGTTCATAAAGTGTTTTAAGAAAGCAAATCCAAACAGTTATGCCTTTTATTGTCTCCTGAATTTTTAGTTACAAGAAGTCTTCGTTTAGACAAATGCAGGACACTTACACTGCTGGTTCAATTAATGCCCATCTTCCTAAAGAATCAGGTTAAATAGTAGGTCTTTTTACTGAGATGACAGTATCTGAGACAGCAAATACTAATTTTGCTGAGAGAAGATTATATGTTATATACTTCTTGTAAATTAAAAAATTGTGTGCTGAGAAATTCCCAGGTGGTTCTGCATTGATTTTTATTTTTTTGTCCGCAACATTTAAAAGGTGAAAGTGGTCACAGTGTTCAGTTGGTTGAGAATTATTATTGGTTTAGCATTTCTGTTAGTACCCTCTAGCCAGCCTTGTAGTGTAATAGCTGCATCATGATATTTCATTTTCCAGTACCAAGTAGTATCTTGGCACAGGAGATAACTACAACTTCATAAGCAGACCCTGTAAACCCCAAAAGAGACAGAAAGTGGTGATAATATATTGAAAAGAAGCTTTGGGTTCATATTGTATTTGGAAAATTATACCGATAAAAATAAAATTGTTATGGTTCTATAGTTGTTTCTTAATAATGCTCAAGAAGACTCTTACCTTTATTTAGAAAAAATGGAGGAGAAGGTCAAAGAGCCAATTAAAGAACCCTCAGAGGAGCCTTTACCAATGGAGACAGAAGAAGAAGAGTCTAAAGAAGAACCTATAAAAGAACTGATAAAGGAGGTAAAAGGCCTTGAACCCAAAAGCCAGTCTGAAGTCTCACATCCCTCAGCTGTGGCTGCATCTTAGCCCAGGCAGGTTGTCAGGAGCCATGGTTAGTGATTCAAGTTCTTAAATTCCTGAGGGGATTTGAAAGCCTCCATTTTTGGATTCAGATCTTTTTCTTCTGTTAATGTCTTTACATAAGGAAAAATTAACATTCAAAAGAAACATATATAATATGTCAATTAAGAAGTTAGTAAGAGCATGGGAGAGAGGTTAGCTTATTACACAGATGTGGTGTAATAAGCTAACCTCTGACTGATTTTGTGGTACTCAGAAAATGGAACTTGTCCTGAATGTTTGAAATACTTAATATTTCATAGTTTTTTTCTCTATTTCTTTTGCTTCATTATTTTTAGCAGTTTGACACAAAGCTCACATGTTCACCCTGTGCTGTAACTGCTAAGTTTAGGCTGTTAGGAGCACGTGTCCTAGAGAGGGCTGTAGTGTTTCCAGTAAACAAAAGTAACTTTTCCTTTTGGAGGCATATTGCTGGGCTAAACAGCATAGTTTCTGAGGATACTAAAAGGTATTTAAATAAAAATTAAAGCTTTTATCCTGATTTCTGTGAACTTCTATGTAGTTTAATAGGCAAAACCACAGAATTCAGTTACTGGGTTTTCTTCCAAGCCGCCCTGTTTATTTCTGAGGTAGTTACCAGTTTGCTGATTTCTGCTACGGAGGTTATTTCAGGTTTTTCACTGTTTCCTACTGTGTGTCTCATTATCAAGCAAACTAATTTTACAAATAAATGAAAATTCCTTTGTCAGAAAATGCACCCTTACACCTGTATCCGGGCCCTCCTAGATTTCTAGGATTCATACAGATCTAGGAAGGTATTTAAGTAAGGTTTTGTCAAAGTCAAAAGTTAATTAAATGCTTAGAGGTTTTGGAGCTTAGATTTTTGGAATAGCAGCTGCTGTTGCAATTCCAGTGCTTCTGTTCTAGGCATGGATGAAGTGTCATTTTGAGCTGCTTGTCAGCATGGTTTCAGTAAAACAAGTTGGTTACTGTGTAATAAATAATTAGCCAGTTGTCATTGCCTGATCCTCAAACCTGTTTTTTCCTTGAGGAGCCAAAAGAGGAAGAAATGACAGAGGAAGAGAAGGCAGCTCAGAAGGCCAAGCCAGTGGCCACCACCCCCATTCCAGGCACCCCGTGGTAGGTAGCTGCTGCTGTGGGACTGGCATGGCTGTTGCTGGGGAGTTAGAGCAAGTGACAGTGTGTGGAGAGCGTGCTCTTAGTGTGCTGCATTTTTAATGTCTCAGTCTCAAATGCAATCACTGCATTTTCCAGTCTGGAGCAGAGAAAAGCAGCAGTTCAGGGTCAGAGCTGGGCAGCAGCAATGGCTGGCAGGCAGCTGTGCAGTCGGGGGAGCTGGGTCTGTGTGTGACCGTGGTGCTGCAGGCTGTGAGCAGCAGCAGGGCCCCGGGGCTGAGGGTAATGCAAGCCTTCCTTCCCATGCCCAGGTGCGTGGTGTGGACTGGTGATGAGCGTGTGTTCTTCTACAACCCCACCACACGGCTCTCCATGTGGGACCGACCCGACGACCTCATCGGAAGAGCTGATGTGGACAAAATCATTCAAGAACCTCCTCACAAAAAGGGAATGGACGAAGGAAAAAAACTTAGTAAGAGCAGTCTTATTGCCTTCTTAGGAAGCGTAAATACAACTTAATACTTTGCTTTCCAAAGCTTGTAACGTTTAAATAAGTGACAGAAATGTAAAGATCTACTGAAAAGCTGTATAAATGTGAAATGCAGATTATGGAGTCTTTTTGAGAAAAGATAGCCTGTTGGAGAAAGTAGATACTAACAAGCTTAATTGTTTTGCTAAATGCCAACAGGTTGAAAAATCCCCACAGTTTTTATTGACTAAAAAAAAGGGATTGTGTTTGTTTAATGAGAAAGAGACCAGAAAAGATTAATCATAATGTACGAACGGGCTCTCATAGAAGATGAGTTAACTTTGAGATCATCAGTTCAAAAAGAGTTTGGGAATAGCTGCTGAGAGAGAGAGCATTCAAAAGGCTGCTGAGATGAGATTTCTCTCTGGCCTGAGTTCTAGGAAATGGCCCTGGGATGGCATGTTGGCTTTGTAGTTGGAGGAGAGCAAAGTGCAGGTAATCAGGTAGATCCAAGTGTGCTTCATTAGACTGTTAAGCCTGAGTTGTTTTCCCCTAAAAATAAGAGCTCAGTGTTTGTCATTTTGAATTTCAAGTTGGCTAAAGTCCACTAGTCCTGTCCCCAGATTCCCATAGTGTGACTCTGACAGTGACTGAGAACCACGTGTCTTCTCCCTTTGTCAGAACACAATTGCTGCACATGTTGTCCTTGGTTTTTGCATGAGGTTTCACTCATAAGTATAAAAATTTTCATCAATATAAAACCTAAAGTCTTACTGAACTCTGTTACAGTTAGAGAAGAGCATGAAGCTGCAGAGGAAGCAAATGAAGATGAGCCTATTAAAATAAAAAAGCGCAAGTAAGTTTTTGCTTTTTCAATACCACGTGATCTGTGTGGTAAAACAACTGAAATTTGTTACTTGAGCCATGTGTGTTGTGTCCAGCAGAGTATAATTGGAATGGAGAGGGTTGGTGAAAAGAGTCATCAGCTTTCTGTTGCTCAGCAGATCAGGTATTTGCTATTTTCCTGAGATAGCTGAAACCTGTGCAGAGAGTAAATAGCATGTGTTTTGGAAGTTGAAATGGGAAATGGCACTGAAGTTACTTGGAATACCTTGGCTCCTGAGCGCTGGGTGTGAAACTATTCATGTCCACCTCTGAGAATGGCTTTTATGGATTGTAAGCTTGTTCTTCTGGTATGATCAGTGATATCTGCCCTGGCCTGATGTGGTTCAGGTTCTGACCTTTAGGGCTGACATTTTACTTCTCAACTTACACTTTGTTTTTTTTTCAGGAAAGATGATATCAAAGACATTGATTCTGAGAAGGAGGCTGCTATGGAGGCTGAGATTAAAGCTGCTCGAGAGAGAGCCATCGTCCCGCTGGAGGCTCGGATGAAGCAGTTCAAGGACATGCTGCTGGAAAGAGGGGTCAGCAGCCTGTGTGTGTGGGAGGGAGAGGGAGGCTCAGCTCAGAGCTGGGTGTGTGTGAGAGGGAGACTCAGATAAGAACTGTGTGTGTGTGTGTGTGTGTGTGTGAGAGAGAGAGAGAGGGAGGCTCATGCAGAGCCTCCTGAGTTCTTGGTGAATTCCAAACCTGTGGCACTTTGTCTGTGGAAACAATCTCATCCTTCCTCTGATCAATGAAGGGTCTTGGTACAGAACCCCAGATTTCAAAGAAACTTACAATTACAGCAAAGATTTTGTAACTGAAATGACAGGGTCAAGACAGATAATTTCCTCCCCCCTCCTCCTGTTTTTCCCCCAAATTAAGTAATTACATAAGTGGAAATTGCCATTGAAGATGAATAGGGCACACAGAGTGGACACGTCCTTAATGTTTTTGAGAAAAGCAGCAAATGAGAAAAGCAGCAACTCTGGTCTGTGCAGACTTATCCTTAAATGGGAGACTCTTTGCTTTTAGTTAACTAAAGAAATGTACTTGATGCCAATCAATTTTGATAAATTAAACTAGTTGAGTATAAATTTGGATAGTAACTGAAAACTGGAAGTGTTTCCAGCTGCCTATGGAACACAGCTTCTCAAGGCTTTCTTTCAATATACATTTTATTTTTAATGTCACTCAGCAGTAGTGTGTATTATTCTTTAGAAGTTTGCAGAGGAAATTGATGTTGAAACTTTCTATGACAGCCTCTGTCATCCATTAGTGATGAGAACTGCAGGATGAGTTTGGTTCCCTCTTTTCATCACATCTTAGTGTTTTCAAGGAAAACTCTACAACTTCTGTATAGTTTGTATATTCATCTTCATTTAATTAAAGGTCTCTGCCTTTTCAACATGGGAGAAAGAGCTGCACAAGATTGTTTTTGATCCTCGTTACTTGCTGCTCAACCCAAAAGAAAGGAAACAGGTAAAAAAGTTAAATTCACTTCCCATCCAGACACAGCTACTACAGGTTTATCTGAATCCTCAGTCTTTGTTTCTGCAAACCTTTCAGACTAATAAGTGCTGCAAGGGATTTTTGTCACGATTAGGGTTTGCCTGGAAATGGAAGAAACCAGCAAGGGAAAGTGTTGATAGTTGCTTTATTTCCTGTGGTTGGAAGGTCTCATATTTTGACACAGTGGAAGTTGTATGTCTGCAGAGCACTGCTGAAACCTGAATGAAATAGTGAGAGTCATCAGTATCTTGTCAAAGTATTGGCATAATAAGTAATCTAGCTATTTTCTTTTAAAAAAGCGTTTGGGGGAAAATCTAAAGTGCATTTTTATTGTTCAGCAAGTTCTCACTTCAGCAGCTTTTCTTCAAGTGAATGTAGGGAAATGGAAAGCTTCAAAACTTGGGAAGTGTCTGAAACATGGGACCCAGGAAAATGTTAACTGGAATGTGTAAGGAACTTCTTCCCAGGTCTCAGATGGTGTGTTAGGTACAGCACCCTGCATGTGCAGCAGCTTGCATCAATTCCATATGGAAATGCAAAGTGTCTCTAAGATTTCTGCCTCCTCTGTGTTGATTTTGTGGTGAGAGGAACGAAAACGAGCAAAGGAAAGAAGTGGGACTTTTCCTCCCTTATCCCTAGAGCTTCTGTGTGTCACACGTGTGTTTGCTGTGGGTGACTGGTGTTTCTGTAGGTGTTTGATCAGTATGTGAAAACCCGAGCAGAGGAAGAGCGCAAGGAGAAGAAAAATAAAATAATGCAGGCCAAGGAGGATTTCAAGAAAATGATGGAAGAAGCAAAGATTAACCCAAGGTAGGAGTTTCTTTGTGGTTCATGTGCATAAGCTCTACTAGGATGCAGTGTGTTGGGTGGTATTGGGTTGATTAATCTTTTCAAAATGGGCAAAGAGGAGAAAAATCATGAGATAATGTTGAAATCTTCCTTTGTTTGCTTGTCACCTAATCCATTAAAAAATAGAACTTGTGACTGACATATTTCAAGTTGAAGAAATACCCAGCATGCTCCCTGGATTGTGAGAACCTCCTCGGATCCACCACAAGTTTCTTTAATAACCTAGTTTCTTCTTAATAAGTCTTTGAGAAGTACTAGGGAGATTTCTTGGGTTTGGAGGGGGCTGAAGGGATGTTTTTCTTGTTACAAACTGTGTCAATGATGATATGATAAAATGTTCTGGTTGCTTTAATGGAGCACTGATTACACCCCCCTCACATTCAGACCACTGGCAGCAGTAAGAGCGAGGGGGTGACGGTGATTGTACATTCAAGATTTCACTGCTGGCATTATTTGTTTCACAGCTTCTGCACATAGAGGTCATGAGATTCATGCTTATGTCACCAGATAAGCTCCAAACCGTCCTCTTTCAGCATCTCTTGGCTCATCTGGCATTAATTCTTTCCCAGTGAAATAACAGCTCATTTGTTTCACTTCAGCTCAGTTTTTTTCAGTGACTCACTTTGGAAATTTGGTGACGGTGCTGTGGTAACTTTTGAATTGCTTCAGATCTGACTAATAACTCAGTAGTAGGCTGGAAGGCTGGAGGCATGGAAATGCCTTTAGAAACAGTTATGTTAGCTTTAATATCCACAGCTTTCAGCATATCTTCAGTATGTCGTGTTGGGACTCATTCTTTACCTGATTATGGGCTGGGGTGGGAAAGAGAATTCCAGCTGAAATACTGTCTTGTTTAATCTTATCCTTTGTCTTCTGGTTTCAGTGTTTGTCTAAAGATATTGCTGTACTTCTGTGAGTGCCAGACTGGTTTTTTATCATCTATCTCAGTCCAACATGCTCAAGAGTTTGTGTTCCACTTCACTTGAGCAGCTCTTGTTCTTCAATCTAGCTGTACATTCACTTTCTAATCCTTTTGAATAAGCTACCAAATTCTCTTCTTGTTTCAATTTACCCTACAGCAACAGTAGGCTGGATTTTCCAAGTCTAATTATTTCCATGCTGTGATGAAAACATTCGTATGATTATAAGTGTCTCACGTATTCTTGGGGCCAGATTTGCATCAGAGCTTGGAAAAAGCACAGTAGTGATTTTTTTCCGAGGTAAGTGGCAGTAATGTACCTACTGCACAGGTTGGAATCTGGCCCTGGAGGTGAGAGAACGGTCAGGGAAACGCTGTGGGATGAGGGGTTGAAAGCCCAGTGTTGCTGCCTCTGCCCAGAGTGTTTGAAGGGGTTTCAGCCCTGTTGGTTTTAGCTCAGGCTCTGCAGTGTGCACTGCAGGGGGAAGAGCTGGTGCAGCCAGTGTTCTCTGGGGACTCCTGCCAAAGGCCGGCTTTCTTGGTGAACTCTTAGCATGGTTTGGCTGCAAGTGAATGCACCTGAGATTTCTGGTTTCACAGCTGTGAAATACCTGGACAGACTGGTGGCTGAACTGCTAACCCACAGAAAAGAAAAGAAGAGTTTTGTAGACAACTGAGATTTTTTTTCGTTTCTTCTCCTTGGTTGCGCTGTAGTCTCTCTCTACACCTGCCCCTTCTGCAGGTGGCTGTATCTGAACAAACCAACCCACCCTTGTAAGTCTCTGACAAACACCTCTTGTGTGAGTGCTGACTCTCTTTATAGAGTTCATTGGTCCAGCAGCTCTATAGTGAGACCATAGGATTTGCCTTTTGGGTTTTTGTCAGTTGTGCTCTGGCATGTATTGCAGCAGAGGAAATACCTCCCTGCTGAACCTGCCTCACAGCCCAGACAGCTCTGCCAAATGAGTTCACTTGCCATTTTGTTGCAGAACTACTTTTAGTGAATTTGCAGCCAAGCATGCTAAAGACTCGAGGTTCAAGGCAATTGAAAAGATGAAAGATCGAGAGGCCTTGTTTAATGAGTTTATCACAGCGGCAAGAAAGAAGGAGAAGGAAGACTCGAAGACCAGGGGAGAGAAGGTAAGGGGACTCTTGAGTTCCAGCAGTGTGAGTGGTGTGAGTGAGATGGGACAGAGCCAGTGCTGGGCTTCCCTGAGCCTTCCCCAAGACACAGGCCTGCACTTTGCTAGAGCTGTTACAGCCAAACACTTCGGGAGTGTCCCCCTGGTCTTTCTGAACAATTTCAAGTTTGCAGTTTACTAACTTTTAGAATATTTAGAACTGAATTGTGTTTACCTGTGAAGCTGAGTTTGCTTAATCACTAGTTTCTTTAATTCACCCAAGCAATAACATTATCTTCTTAACTGAAGTAATGCTTAATTTTTTTTTTCTATTAAGTTCTTGATGCATGAAATGGCAAAGGAGTCTTACCCTGTTTGGCTGGAGCCCCAAAGCTGGTCATTACCTCTCTGTTCCCTCACTGGGGGCGGGCAGGACTTGCAATTCCCTGAGGATAGTCTCTTCAAATTTCAAACAGTTCCCTTCCATCTCAAAGCAGGCACTTAGGGAGGGACTTATTAAGCTTTGAATAAGTAGATCTTATGTGTAAACTGCTACTTATTAGATTTAAAGGTCAGCTTTTAGAGATTAATGAACTCCCAGTGTCACGTGCCTGCGCTGCCAGTGGTGGGGAGCAGCTCTCCCCCGTGGGGACGGGACTTCAGACAGGGCCACCAAAACCTGGGGCCACCAAAACCTGGGGCCACTTACTGCCACGTCCCTGTGTGTGTGAGAGTGGAGAAGGTCACCTCTGAAGGCCAATCATTTTGGACATGTGCAAGTCTGCTATTTTCATTATGTAGTGTGGAGTTATTGCAGGTTTCCCTGCCTGGAGTGCTTGCAGGAGAGAGAAAGGCTGGGGGACAGGTCAGATTTGGGGACAGTTTCATTCTTTGAGAAGCATATTTTTAAAATCTGGGTGATCTGATATAATTTGATTTTCTCAAACATTGCCTTATTGCTACTGTTTTCCATAAATGATTGTGCTTTCAGAGGGGAACTGATGTAGTTCAAGACTAGAATTTACATACTGCAGTTTGATTGTGATTATGGAATTATAAAGCATTTTTGCATCTTAATAGTGCAGTTGAAGACTTTAAAGAATGAATACTAGTTTTGTTGTTGCATGATTGTTCTAAAGTTGAAAAGTTAAAAGAAGAGATTGTATTTGTTTGCTTTAAATAATGTTTTTTTTTTCTCCAAAAGCCTTTTGTAACCATTTTATGTATTCTGTTTTATAACAAGTGGATAGACTTTACAGTTATGTGCTGTGCGGCCTGTCAATCAGTTCAGTCTGACAGCTGTCAATCACTGACACGCAAATATTATGGGATTCCCTAGTGAGGAAAGCATTGGTATCTCTGTGTGGTGACTTTAGCCTCCCGCAGTTCCGGTACTTTACATTTTTTTAGTTTTTTTCCTTGTGAAGTGATGAGACTTGTACCTGCAATGTGTTAACTGCCAAAAAAAAAAGACTTCTAAATACACCTGAAATGTTTTCAGCCTTATTTTCCTTTGACTTTGAAAGTGCTTAAAACAAAAGAAAATTTAAGGCATTTAACCTGAAGCTTTCTCAGTCTGTCCAAAATCTTTACTTAGAGAGAATCAACTTTACAGAAATCTTTAACGTAAGGGTTTTAGATTATATATATATAATGTTTGATTATGGCTTATGGGATGGGGATGGAAGAGCCAGCTTCTCCAATGGCTAGTTTTATTCCTGTGCCTGATTTCAGTGGGTAAATCCCATTTTCAGTGAGTAAAATCCATGCCATCCCGTGCTTCTCAGATGGCGTAGCCGGGGTTAAGGCTATCAGGGTGCCGTGTCCCTGGGGTGAGCTGTGTGAGCTGTCCCAGGTGACACAGCCTGGCTGGCTGTTGGGCTGCAGCTGCCCTGCCCCTCGTGCTGGTGGCTGTCCCCAGCCCAGAGCTCTGGTGACACTCCGCTTGGTCGGGCAGTCTGTGTGCAGACACATGAAATCACCATCCACAGCTGGCATCTGAGAACATTACTCCTTGGTGAGATGCTTCAGACTCAATTATTTGAGACATTTTCATCTTTTTAAAATTTAAAATGAGCTGGCAACACCTGTGCTGTGTACAGGGCACCCGAGTGAAGTGAAAGCTGCTTTAGAGCCCCAAGGCCTGAAGTGCCGTTGTTATCCCTGGAGGGAATTGGCTGTGCCCTCGTGTCTCGGGCCCAGTGGGAGCTGGCAGGGCTGCGCTGGTCCCAGTGCCCCTGCACAGCTGGGCAGGAGCTGCAGGGCATTCAGGAGCGAGGGCTCTGTTGGCAGCCCCACAGCTGGGCACGGGTGGCACAGGCAGCTCCCATGGGGCACCTTCCTGCAGCCCCTGGCAGTGCCTCAGGTGGAGCTGTGTGTGGGTGCTCCTCAGCGTGGCACCTCATCCTCTGGAACACACACACGGGTGGCTTGAGCAAGAGCCTGGGGATACCCTTACCTTAGAGACTTCTGTAGTAACAGCTGGGAACTGTTTGGTTTCTAACAAATATTTCAAATGCCATGGCTTAGAAAGCTTCATATTTTGAAACTGCATGCATGTTTTATGATGTTTTGAAACAACATTCGTAATTTTAGAATGAATAAACAGTTTGCCTAGCATTTTGTTGAGCTCCTTTAAGATAAAGCAGTAGTGCTGTAGCTGTAGAACAACATCCCACTGGCACTAAGGGGCTGGTTTCTGATCTCTGCTTTACTGTCTTAGTCTCCTTTGGTATAGTAAAGAAAGCCTATAGAGCCTTTTATGTTTATATGTTAATATTTTGAAGAACTAAAATTATTGGTGGGCAAGGTTGCAGAATGTTGGTGCTGATCTTCATTCCATTCTTGCATTCTGAGCACAAACTGAGCACGTTTTAGAGGAAAAGGATGTGCCAGGTCTCTGGCAAGCTGGAGCCTGCTCTGTCCATCTGCTCCCTTCCCTGAGGAACCTCAGTGCTCTGCAGCTAAACTGCTTCTCCTGGTTTCCCTTTTTTAAGGGATGGGGAGGGGAGATAAATAGCAAGTAACAGCAGTCCTCCTCCTGGATTTTGGGTTTTTAATTGATGTGCCATAAAGCTGTGTTGGGTGTGTGGGGTGCTGTGGAGGCAGAACCCTTTGCCCCAGCCCCTCGCCTCTGCTTTGGGAGGCTGAAAGGCCAGCCAGCCTGCCGGGAGTGGATGGTGACCCAAGGGCTAAAGTGCAGCAGGAGCTGGGAGATCACCTTCCCCAGAAATCAAGCTATCTAATAAAGGCACAGTAATTGCCCTTACCCTTGCTGGTTCTGGGACGTTGGATGAAAACATGTTGCTAGTTGTATTGAAATAAAACCTGCTCTGATGGATCCTCTGCCAGCCCCTGCAGCGGCTGTTGCTGCTGACAGAAACATGACATGCCATTTCCAACTGAAAAAGTAGACTAAAGCATTTTCTTTCAACTATGTCGTAAATGTGCATGTCCATCCTAAATATAATTTACTTAATTGCCATACGTGCATAATTCTTTATTGGTTACATCCATCTTAAGACATCAGTCTTTGTTAGCAGATCCAAGCATTTACTTCTGCTAATTGTACACCTGAAGGATGAATCCATAAGCACCTGATTCCTCTAGAACCTTGTTTCCAGCTGCATGGCTTCTGGAGTACTGATAGGCAAAATGCTATCATGCAGCAACACTAACTTGTTAATTTGACATAGATAAAAGCCAAAAAACAAGCTTAAATTGGAGTAAAATAATAGAGTGTATTGGTGGATCATTCTTTATAGAGTTCATCTTAGATGTAGCAGATGGCCTAAATGTATCTGCTTTGGCAAAACTGTCTCAAGGAACAGTGAATTTGGGCTGCAGTTATGACTAAATTCAGAGTTATGGTGATTGCTTTTAAATTGCAATGGTATGTAATGTTAATGTGATCCCTCTGATGAAGGTAAGTTGACTCCTTTTGTCATAAGAGCAAACTGTGGAATATTAAGGTGTCTTTCTCAAGTGTCGTCTTTCTGTTTCTGTCTGTATAACAGATCAAAATGGACTTCTTTGAGCTGCTGGCAAACCACCACCTGGATAGTCAGTCTCGCTGGAGCAAAGTGAAGGACAAAGTGGAGACTGACCCACGGTACAAGGCGGTGGACAGCTCCTCACAGAGGGAGGACCTGTTCAAGCAGTACATTGAGAAAATAGCCAAGGTGGGCGGGGAGCACGGGCTGCGGGTGTGCTGAGGGTAGACTGGTCTGTGCTGAAGAGAATTCCATACCAGAGCTGCTGTAGGAGTACCCCAGAATAGCAGCTTGGAACTTAGAAGTTCTGTCCTTGGTGGGATGTTTGTGGGATCTGTGTGCAGGCACACACATGATATCTGGGAGAGCTTATGCCTCAAAGATTCCTGTGAAATCACTGGTGGTAAAACTGCAGCAGATACAGACACCACATTGATTACTTCCTCCTAGGATGGGCTGCATTTCCTTTGCTGTGATTTTCCCTGTCAGCTGAGCTTCCTTCAGGGATGTGTGTTCATACCCAGTTCCTTCAGTGCTGCTCCTTTCTTAATCCAATATTCCTGCCTTTCTCTTCCAGGCAGTTAATGGTTGAGAATGTAAAACTGGGCCAACAAACAGTGATCCCCTTGGCCTCCCTTATTCAGAGTCTGTCAGTGCACACAGCTCCTGGGAATAAGCTGATCTGTGACCAAATTTGTCTCTCCCACAATGCTGTAACCCTGTAATGCTTCAGCCTGGCTCTTTAAGCAAAATTTTGTAATCATAGAACCCAAATCCCGTGGAAGTCTTTTGTTCTGAGCTTCCTTTAGTTTGATAGCCCTTTAATTCTCTTTCTAATGAGCAGCGTTGCTCTTAGTGAGACAAGGGTGTTGCTGCCTTGCAGAACCTGGATTCTGAGAAGGAGAAGGAGCTGGAGCGGCAGGCGCGCATCG